TCGGCGCATGTATAACTCGTGGTTGCCGGTGCACAGTGCAAGAATACGTTTGTTGATACGCGATTTATCGGCCAAAAAGTAGAACTCCTGAAGGAAGAGGTGTTTGAATTAACCGTAGTGGGGTAAATCCAAAGCTGGCTCTAGACTCCCCATTAGCATATCGAAAATCAATAACTGAAGTAGTGAATAAGAAGAAAAAACTAAGCCATTGGTCACCAGTTTGCTTCATTGAGCAGATTTAATTCACGCCGCAGAGCGGGAGTAAAAACCAAATTTTTCGTATGTAAATATAGCATGTTGGAAAACGCAGATCAACAGATAATGCCTTCGAAGGAATACACGGATACGAATTTGTTTTCCATTTGCGAGGTGTGGTCACCGGGATTTTAGGCGTCAACGCGTCCGCCTCTTAGTTGCATTTAAATCTTCCCGTCACTCCATTGAGACTATTTGAAATTATTTGGTTAAGCAAACGTCATCAAAATGATGTTTCTAAAAGAACTAGAGAAGATCAACCCTCATCGACGTCGCGCAAGATATGCTTTAAGGTCGTAGTGCCCCTAACCACATTAAGCAGACGCAAATAGCAGACTGTGGCCAGAGGGGACATTCTACGTTGATGGCAATAAAGATAGAGCAGGCCGAGATGCGAAAAACCAAGTACATTTACAATGCGTACCTTCGCAGTGGAATCGGCGGGCTTTATAACAAACTTCTTGTCATGAAACGATAGTTTGCTGATTTCCGACCAAGGGAAGCCTATCTTCGGATCCAGCCTGTAGGAAAAAGTCAAAAGTAAAGCGGTCAAAAGAGCGTTCCTGGAAATATTCGACAGGAGCAGGAAAGGGAGCACGACCGAGTAGACACTCCGAAAATAAGAGCAGCAATTATGCGCTAAGCTGCTAAAGGGACTAACTACCAGAACTGCCGTAACAGCACGTGCCTGGAGAAGTCCCCGTTGCTGCCACAGCTCAAGACAAAAAGTTGAAATAACATAGAAATAGGATGGAAAACCCATGGTGCAACTTCATCTGCACATTAGTTTTCGAAAATGTGCAGCAAGATCTTATAAATGAAACTACCAAGAATGTGTTGGGTTGTCCCAGCTATTCCTTTCACGGTTTATGGATATCAGCGTAGCATAATAATATGCTCGCCCGGCCATATGTAGCGACTCCATCTACGGAAGGGGCTAAGGCTGACGGCCAAATGTAGTACAGTTTGCAAAATAAACAGCGTCCACAATAACTTAAAAGTGTAGTCGGTTGTGCAACTCCAAAACAGAAATGCATTTAAGTGCTGATTACTGTAAGACTTGTATGAATAGAACGTACAGGTTGTCCGGTTCATAGATGCTTAGTCCAAGGGCATCGACACCGAGAATCAGAGAAGTTCCCTTTTTATTCTTTATTGAGAACATTTCGACACCGTACATTTCCAGATCCTGCGCCAGTTCCAAGTACTTCACCATGGCATCTTCACGCGACATATCATGATCCTTGTAGTATGAAATGATGCGATTGTACCACTCTTCTTCACTTAGATTATATTGTCCCCTAGGAAAAAAAGGAAAATATGGACTTATTATGGAGATATCCGCATGCCGCAAAGCCTAAACTGAAAAATCATACTCGTAGAAGACACCTGGACAGCTACAAATGTTACCCGTAAATGCGAAGGAACATGAATATCGAGCCGGAATGTGCGACTTACTGATCAGGTATCAATCTGTCGACTGGCAACTTGGCAGGACAGGTAGAGGGGTTGTATACATCGTATTTTGCCACGCATGCGTATGAGGCCAAAAGGACGGCAGTTTCCGTAGGGCAGTAGATTTTGCCGCTCATAATGTCGTTCTTCACCTATATTAAAGAAATTAAAACCATACTAAACTGCATCTGTTTTAAGTGTTTAATCACCGGCACAGGCCCATGGTCAACCGCATTTAACCAACCTCCTCTTACTACTAGTTAAGAGAAAAAGGGTTGAATTTAAGTAAATGGTGCACTGGAGGGCATTACGGAGAGCCAAAATGTCATGAATCGGATAAACATGAGGTTGAACAAGGTAAAAAAGGACAATAGTAGGTACCTGGAGATAGAAATATCGGATGGTCGTGGACTGGATAAGCTCCTCCGCAACATTTTCGGGGTAAAACTTGACAACGAACTTGAATTCATAAGCTGATTTTTCGGCGAAGTCATGGGAAGATATCTTCTTCTCAAGACGCAACCACGATGGATTATTATCTTTGTCAATATACTGGATTCCGAAGAACCAAACTTCGCGCAAACCAATCGTGCGGACAACCTGGTCGAAGAGTTGCTGGCCAGGAGCATTCTTTAATATTTCAAATTCAAGTTGCGACTCAACCGTAGTCACTTTCACGCTGATCTGAATAATTCAATAAATAATCTATTACTGACTTACAGTCTTGGAAGATTTACCTTTACGAAGCATCGTCGGGAAAGATTTCTGTAAAAAAAATATGACACATTAATAAACATTATAAGCTGTGAGGAATCTTCAAAATGCCCAAGCAGGTAAGTATTCTCGGACGTGGATGCATGAGTCTACCGTGGTTTATAAAGCCATAGCCAAAACATGTTCTGGCGTCCTTAAAATGTCGAACAGTAATAAAAAGTACTACATTGGCGAACAAAAGTACTCAGCAAGCAAGAATAAAACTCCCTCTACTCAAAGATGTTACGCTTTGTCACGTAGAGCAGTAGTGTCCTTTTGCGTGTTGTATTTGACGCAATACAATTTTCTGTCTTACGGATTTAAAAAAGGAGGAGGAGGAGCGAGTCTTCATCCTTTCTTAGGGCGACAACATTTTCTAGTTGGTTTCATAATGCCTCAAAATGGTAGGCTAATAAGCACTACGAAATCAACTAAGCGGCGAACTTAAAAATTTCGTATTGCCATAAGGCATGACTACTGCATCTTCTGGTAACACTTTGAGAGGAAGATGTATTTTAGCGTTAACTTTGAATTAGAAAATAGGTTCAGCCTCGGGATTTCCATTCACTGATATACAACTTTAACATCATTAACATGCTTATCAGGGTGGCAAAATAAACTCATTCAAGGCAACGATGTATGTAAAAAAACGTTTCCGCAAACGGGTGAGCCTAACATAGATCAATGGTGACAATCCGGTTACAGCCAAACTAGCTCAGAAGTATGGTCGAAAACAGTTCAGAATTAAGGGCAAGTGGCACTTGATACCGACCCTTGGGTCTTAAAGATAAAGTTGACATGTTCGATGTACATGGTTCGATTTAGAGAGACAATTATAAGTTTCTTCTATTTCGGAAATTGGTTTCAGCTAGCACACAGCTAATGTGCATTTACTGTATGCCCATACACAGGAATTACAAAGCCGAATTGCTAATAGAGTGCGTATCAGCGAGTAACATAAGAAATTAAGACACAAAATAATAGTCCATTCCACAACCCTAACAACTAGCCTTCACTAACCAGACGCGAACCAGGACAGACAAGAAGTCAAAAGGCCCTCGGGTAAAAATTAATCTACACTGTCGACCGTTTAAAACAAAATGGATCTTGCACGTCGACCACTGTCAATAATGAATTCGAAGTAGTTAAGTTCTCCCTCTATGTATTGCCAACCCGAGTTTACAATTGTATTCACTTGCAGAGTGCAGTTATTGGACCTTTTCATGTCCTCACCTAACCGACTAAGTGGATCCACACAACCCTTGCTATTTGAATGTAGACCCAAAGGCAAAAATCGGCGCTTTTAAACTAGAACGATTTTAATGTAGAATTTACATACAAAAAAGTAACTTTTGGTGAAGGAAAAAATTACCAAGCTCTAGGAATGAATCAGACAATGGGAGAACCAGCGGACCTCCGTTGCTTGTCTTTAAGTCTTTAATTTTGAACATGCAGAAATTGTGAAATTGTTAGTCCTTCGACTGCTTGCTTAACATAGGTATGCGTTCCCAGATCGGAAGGCGTAGTATTGATGCTTCCTGCATCCAAGTCCAAGGTGTATGATGTGCCATAATTGTGGTGGCACTCTTATTCCTGGTTATCGTATTAAGTGCGTTAAGATATAGGGCGTCCCAAAAAATGTATACACATTTTACATAATTGTGAAGTTGGTGGTTATCATAATTTATTATTAAAAAACGTAAAAATATTTACAAGTATCATTGTACTGTCTTTATCACTGAATGTTCTCAAAATGACGTCCATTTTGATCATAACACTGCTGACAACGCGAAGCAATGCAATAGTACACACCATTAAATAATTCGCTTCGTATTCGGGTACATTCACGTTGAATGGTTTCTCTCAATTCAGTCACTATTTCCATAATCAAAATGCAGTGAAAACACAATAAAATGACACATGTAAATATGTTTTCGTTTTTGAAATAGTAAAATTATAATAAACAACAAGTTTACAATTATCGAAAATTTGTATACATTTTTTGGGGACACCCTGTATTTGCTAATACTGAAAGGTCCAAATAATTATTTGATTTAAACGGCGTTATGGGTCCTGTTTTAGCCAGTGATAATGCCACTAGAAATCATATATTTTCCTTCGGAGACAGACGCATTCGAGCCATCGTCGGTCACCCTTATAAATATTCATTCATGACATAGATCAAAGCATTAGGCGTGGAAGTGACATAGTCTTTGGTTCTAGTATATAAAGGTCTGTAT